GAGCCAGCAGCACTTGGCTTCCTCATAGACCACTGCACTTGGAAGTCTGGGCCTGTGTGCGCCTGTGCACCCCACCTGGGCAGGCAGGGGCGTTAGGAGGCAGGCTCCCATCCCGGCTTTGGCAGTATGATGCTGGATAGCCACGGATACCTGATTTGATTTCTTGGTCCTAAATTTCATCTATAAAATGAAAATATTAGACTAAATTAAGCAGCTTCTCATCTTTTGCCTAGTGAAAGTCAAATTCATTATAACTGTCCACAGAGTGCTGAGTGCTAAGTTGGTTCAGTCATGTCCAACTCTTTGTGACCCTATCTGAAGCCCTCCAGGCTCCTCTGTCCATGGGATTCTCCAGGCAAGAATACTGGAGTGGGTTGCCGTGCCCTCCTGCAGGGGATCTCCCTGATCCAACCAACATCTCCTTCTTTGGTAGGCAGACTCTTCACCACTACCACCACCTGGGAAGCCCCTAATTGTCCACAACATGCCACCGAATCTGGCCCTTCCCCATCTCTCTGTCTTCTCTCTTGTCCTTTTCCTTATCAGCACTCTAGCTGTTTCTGGAATACTGTGCCCACTGCCCATTAGGACCTCTGCATATGCTTGCCCTCTGTCTGGGATACTCTTCCCCAGGATATTCACCCAAAAGTCTTCCTCACAACTTTCAAGTGAGTCTAATATCACATTCTCTGTGATGACACACAATTGCAAATCCTACACACACCCCCAATCTTTATCCTCCTATTCAGCTTAATTTTTTTTCTTCCTGAGCACTTAATAGTATCCCACCTACTGTGTATTTAACTTGTTTATCTCACTGCCTGCCTCTCCCAGGAGAATGTCTGTTCTCCAAGGGCAGGGATTTCTCTCTGCTTTGTTCACTGGTGCACGCCTGGTACCTGGAAGGGCCCCCGATGCAGAAAAGAAGTTGAGTAAGTTTCTCTGAACAGATGGCTGGAAGGGAGGGAGGGGAGGAGGAGTACAGCTCTGCGCCAGCTCTGAGGTCTGTGGGCTGCGGTGTCTACAATCAGAGGGCTCCCCTCTGTTGCCCTGTACCTGAAACAACAAGCAGCCCAGAGCCGCGTGGGTGCGCGTTCACTCAGCTGGAGACCCTCTCAAGTGCTGCTTCCCGCATGTCCCATGCTCCGAGCTGAAGGGCCATGGACGCCACTCGCCGCAAGACCACAGCCTCCACCGTATCGTGTATAAAGCAGATAGCTAATGAGAACCTAGTGTGTAGTGCAAGGAACTCTCAGTGCTCTGTGGTGACCTAAACAGGAAGGAAATCCAAAAACGAGGGGATATATGTGTATGTATGGCTGCTTCACTTCGCTGTGCAGAGAGACTAACACGACATTGTCAAGCAACTCGACTGCTGTGAAAATTAATTTTAAAAAGAGATCACAGCGTTCAAACGCTGTCTATGGGAAATTCTTTATATTGGCACTCAGCTCCATGTTCTAGAGTCAAAACTAATACCGTTTGAGGAAGCATACTGGTATCCATCTCCTTTCTCGAATTCTTCACCTAAAATCCCCAGGGGGAAGAAAAATGAGCTTCTCTGCGGTCAAGAAATCACATTGCTAATTTCACCGGCAGTGAGGAGAGGCAGTAATTTCAGCCAGTTCCGCTAGATGGCAGCGTGGTCTGGAGTGCTGGTATCCAACATTTACCAGCCACATGGCCTACAGAAGCTCCCACACACCCCCTCCTGTTCTCTTCCACACTTATCTCCTTGCCGCCTCTTCACTTTTTAGCCTGGCTATTTTCAACCAGTAATTTACAATCTTCTCCTAAAGGTTCATGCTTAATCATGAATGCATTTAACTCCAGCCTTGGAATCGTTATGTCTGCTTCTTTCTGCCAAAGTATTAATATATTATGTAGCCCAACTTCCCTCTCCAAAAAAAAAAAAAACAAAACAAAACCCTCACTTCTCCCACAAAACTTTCCCAACCAAGCCTGGCTCTGATTCCAACTGTATATATGCGCTGTGACATAGTCAGACACATAACCATTTTTATATACTGGATAGAATGTGTGTGTATACATATATAAAGTTGACAGAGAATCACATGCACAGCTCTGGGCATCTGGAAGGCAAATGTACATTTTACATATATGATCTGCAGGTGACCACACTCCATATAACAGGAGTAGTCATGGCTCTATGAAATAGCATGGCTGCCAGAGGTTCAAATCATGGGTCAAGAAACTAGATATATTAACATTCATCTATGTCTTCCAAGTTTGAATTCCTTCCTAGTATTCAATTTAAGGTCTAGAAAGTCTTCTGAGCCAAAAAATTTCAGATAAACCTCAACAAAGGATGATATATAGACTTGAACAAGAGTGTGTAAATACCAACATAACTTTTAAAGCTATTTTGAAATGCTCTCTGTATTTCAATCCTTAAAAACTTTTCCAATCTACCAGAAAAATAAAATAAAGTCTACTTGTAGAAGTATTAAGTAAGGCTAAAAACAAGCCTAAGGTGTATTTTAAAGTACAAAAGGCCTTGTTTGTGAGTTCCAATTGCTTACTGGCTGTTAAGAGGAAATGGCAGTGTCAATATTCTGACAAACCCCTACATAATGGGAGAACACAAACACTGCTGGGTTTGCAGGTCTCTACAAGGTGTTCCTGCCAGTATCAGATGACTGGGATCCAGAGACGTCTGAGAGTTAGCAAACACACAGAAACTTCATGAGAAGTTCGTGAGAAGGAGAAACTTCATGTGCAAGTGTTCTCCATCGGTTCAGAGCCCCATTTCTAAAGCATTTCAATCCTTCATCCGTTTAGAGATGAAAACTGTCTACATGCAAACTCCAGATGCCACCTTTTCCACCCACAGTCCTCAAACAGCCCTTAGCCTCCTAACGCTCCTCCACACCCAGAGTCCTTGCAAAAGAAAAGCAGTGATTTTTCTGAACACAACCACTTGAAAGCTGTGACCAAAGGTTATTTCCCTGTAGACAGCAACACCATGGTGCTTAGTCATCCGAACATCCTGCCAGATTCTGACAAAGGTGTTACAACCAAATTAGTCTGAGCACTTTGTAACTCACCTAGTTTCGGCATTTTCCCCCGTATCAATCAGAAGGACAGCTTCCCAGAGTCTCAGCAGTCACAGAGATCAGAGGAACATACATAGCCACCCTGCTGATGTCTTTCCCACGGCATCTGTACTGCCTTCAGGGAGTCAGTCCTCCCTGAGAATAATTCAAAGAATTTGTCCAATCCTTTCAAAAAATCAACCATAGCATACCAAACCCATGCACGGAAGGGACTGGTCAACAACAGTCATGTAAAAGTTGTCTTGCTTGTTATTCTGGAAGCCGGGTTTCGTCACCTGTAGTGGAACGCATTGTGTAGCTTTTCGTTGTGAATCCAGAGAGGTCTTCACGTCCACAGCAGGGACGGACTGGTTGCTGCCTGTACTTGCTACCCGTAAACTACAACTACACAGAGACACAGGGATTACCTGTGATAGGAGGACAGGAGATAGTTTCAAAATCAAGCAGAAACAGGAAGTCTAATGTTTCCACATGCTAGAAAAGAGGAGCAGACACTTAAAAAAAAAAGGGGGGGGGGGGAGCAGCCCTAATCATAGATGCCTGGAAAAAATTTAAAAACAACTCATTCCTACCTGGCCTGTATAAACATGAATGTCTATTAATAGTAAGTGTTGCTTAAAGGTGTTCTGGTTCTCAGGAGAGCTAGAGAACAGAGTTTGGACAACTTTGCCACTTAAAATCGTTGGCCTTTTGCTTTTGAAGAGAATATAAGGTCTTTATAAAGAATTTATGTATGCCTGCATCCATGCGCATGCAATACGCACAGGTACATACATAGAGATACAGGCACATGTACGTTCTAATAGTCTGTTTAGAAGCTTATTTATTAACTTGGGCATTTGACAGTTATCATCACCCACAAATCTTTCCCTCATCCATCCCCCCAGGCAAGGTTTGGCCAGTCCCACAAGACCCACTTCACATGCACCTCCTCTGTGAATCCTTTTCCTAAAAGTCACCCACAAATCTTTCCCTCATCCATCCCCCCAGGCAAGATTTGGCGAGTCCCACAAGACCCACTTCACATGCACCTCCTCTGTGAATCCTTTTCCTAAAAGTCCCAAATGGGTGTTAGGATCTCAGCCTCTTCCTTTAATCCCCACAGCACCTCAACTGAGCTTCCTTTCTGGGATCTTCTCACAGCTGTCCTTATGTGATCTATGGTGATCTATCTTTTCTTCAACTCCATGGTAAGTTTTTTGACTTTATTCTTATCTTCTGCAGCAATAACACTCTGCTTTGAGCCTGTTTCTGCACACAGCAGAAACCATACGAAGTGGAAGGCAATGGACAAATAAATGCTTTAGAGTCTGCTAGGTCAGGTTCAAATTTCAGCCACGCCACTTCCTAGTTTTGTAGACTTGCAAGTTACTTCACCTTCTGAACAATTCTGCTCTCTGTCCAATGAGAATAATATCGTCTACCTCATAGAACAGCTATCAAGACATAAAAAGAACCATGTGATGCAAATAACATATTGCCTGACACATAATCACTGCTAAAATAGCAATAAGCATTATATTGTTGACCTGAATTAAAACTGAATGCCTACTATTAATTCAGGGAGGAGGCAGAAAAAAAATACCAATTCAACCCCAACTGATGAACATATTACACATTTCTTTGTAGCCTGCATCATCATGTGACTAACTCGCAGAGGTTTGAAGTTTATACTTTAGAAAACACCCTTTTGTGTTCCTTTGTGTTACTTCTCCAAATTCTGACTGGACCCTTGATGCTATGACAACTTCAACAGGGATTAAGGGTCAAAGATGCCAAGAGAAAACTCCTCCTGGAAACAGGGTTATAAATCATAAAGACTTCCCAACTCTGATTCACTGTCAAGTCTAAGGGTAAATTACCAAATGTAAAGAACAGAAATGCTACATCTAAACACAGGAACGGACTCTCACATTTCCTTACAATGTGGCCTTGGTGGTAGCTGCATGTCTAGGTGGCTACCAGGAACCAGTCTGTCCACTGCCGCGGGGAGAGGATGGGGCAGCATGGTGAAGCCGCCAGCAGGGACAGCAGGAGGGAAAACTGCACAGCATCACAGAAAACAGCGGCCAGCATGGCACCACAGCCCAAGCCTGGGCTCCAAACACAGGGACCAAGGCAGCGATGCGGCCCCACCTGTGAGAGGCAAGGGCAGAGGGGGCTGCAAGCCTTAAGAGTCTCGTGCATCAGCTGGGTACCTCCACACCCAGAGACCAATCCCTGATTTTGGAAAGAGCACTCCAACAACAGGAGAATATAAAGTAACGGAATAAATAGCTACAGAATCCCCTGGAGGTTCAGTGGTTAGGACTCAGCACTCTCACTGCTGGGGCCAGGGGATCGATCCCTGGTCAGGGAACTAAGATCATGCAAGCCCTATGGTGCAGCCAAAAAGAAAGTAGCACATCTGGATGGGCTACAGATAAGGCAGGAAGTCAGGAGACCTCCTTCCTCTTTTAGAGGAAGACCTCCTCTTCCTCTTCATCTGAGACCAGAATGCCCAGGTCTTACATGTTCAAAGCTATTAAAAGTTTGCCTGTTTTAAGCAGTCCCAGCAGTTATAATTTTAAATTCTACTCATCCTACATCCAACTTCATTTGGGAAGAAAGAAGAATTATAGACAGAGGCTAAAGACAGGTAACTCGTAGAGTAGTCCAAATTCAGAGAACAGCTTTATGTAACGTATCTAACTCACTTCAGTCGCCTTTGGAGATATGAAAGTAGCTCTCCTATGCTTCTCTAGGACTTTAACTAGGAAATCAGGACGTTCTCGACAGATTTAAGGATCGACAGTTGTGACAGATACCCAACGCCGGAGCATCATGCTTGCTCTGAGACAGGAAAAGAGGAAGCAGCTGCGACTTCTAGCCCTAGAAACAGCACGACGGCTTGGCAGCGGAGGAACCTGTCCAATCCAGCCTTACAAAGGCGACTGGTGCTCAGATGCAGGCGTGGCTCTCTATCTCTTTCTGGTGAGCTCAGCTCTGCAGCTGAAGCAAGGTACTGCACAGCACCCCAACACCCCCAGGCCCCACCCCAGGAATGTGAGTGGCATTGCTGGTGATGGACGCACCCCGGAGCTTCGCAGTGATAGTACACAAGCCGTTTCATTAGGGAAGTCTGGGTGCATCGTATCTCGTATTTCTCCTCCATCTATCTGTAAGCACATGACAGGAGCTTTCAGAAAACCAGCTTCTCCTCTTGAGCGCACATGCTCTCCACGTTATCTGTGCATCTCACAGCAAGGCACTATCACTTCAATCATTTCACTGTCCCCACACCCAGGGAAATCAGGTGACAAGAACAATTTCAAAGAGGTTAAGCAGATTATTCGACAAGGCCCTGCAAGCTGGGGCAGGAGAGAAGCCATGAGACCCAGAACCATCTCCAAACACAGGCGCTCTCTCTGGCCTAGTTTCATTGACTGCTTATTACACACCCCAAGAAAGACATTTCCTCTATGGCCACCCACATCCTTATCAGCAGTACATGCGACAAAATCACCACAAAGATAACTCAATTTATGGCTGCATGAAAATGTGCACCATTTGTTTATTTCAACACACACTATAGTCTCCAGGACAGAACTGGAAATGTCTGCGAAACATCTTGACCTTCATGCCTTGGCATTCCCAATTTGCTCCCTAGTCCCTAGGGCATGATCTGGTGACTGCCAAGAGTACTGCTATCTTCTTTTCATTCAACCCTCCCCTCTTACCATCAATCCTATCTAGACCCTCCTTTTCAGTCTTATTCCTGCCACCGCAGCCCTCTCAATGGCCTCCCTAAAACCAGTGCCACAAACAGGGCCTCCTCTTTGACGCGACTCGATTCCCTTTGTCCCTCGGCTCTTCTTCCAGGAGGAAGGAGTCACTGGCGAGGGAAGAAGGCAGGCTGAGGGGGGAGCATTCCAGGGCCTGAGTCTGGTAAAGTGCTCCAGAAGCACTTTCTGAATGCTATCACAGAGACAGCAAACGGTCACCTCTTACCTGGAAAGGCTTGTGCCAACAGGAGCGCATGCTTCATGCCTGGAGGAGAGCAGAGAAACCCTACCAGATGCCGAGCAGCGTGTGTGACTTCCCTGCGTCCGCTCGCTCTCCCTGAAACCCTGGGAGGTGGGCACCATGATCCCTGAATTGTAGCTGACGAAACCAAGCTCCATAAATGTAACATACTTGCTCAGCGCAAGGCCAGCACGGGTACACAGGATCTCTTATTACAAATTGGTTGGCTTTTTTCTTATCATATCATATCACGAAAGGGTGTTCTGGTTCACCAGAGAGCACACATAGGGGACTGTCTGGAAAATAAAGAGAACACCTGGCAACCCACCTTTTAAGGCCAGGCAGAGCAGTGAATTCACCAATGTGAACTGCAGCTGCTGCGGGCCAGCGCTGGCCTCAGGGACAAGGCAGGAGGGTTGGGGGGCAGATTGCTCAAGCCCATCCTCACACTGATTGCCCTTCACAGCCTCCCCACAATGGGCTGCATAAAAAAAAATAAGTGTGGGAAGGCAGATTTTTCTATCACATAGTATTTCTAAGTTTCAAGTATAAGTTTTATAAAATGTTACTCGGACGCAGGTGAACAAACAAATGAATAAATAAACTGCCAGCTGCCAGTACAGTGATGTCAACAACCAGATCTTTGGACTCTAGAACGAGCATTTATGTCTGTCATCCTAGGAGGTTCAAATCTCCCTTCACACTCACACCACCAACGAAAACACTAAAGCAGACTTTACGAAGCACAGAAACACTGAGTGCCTGTTGCAATAAATATGCTGGCACTTGAACGTGGTTTATTTTCTGCTGAGCTGAGGATAAACAGAGTCCTGACATTTTATAGCATTCTTGCATTGCAAGCCTTCGTGTGAAACTGAACATGAGCCCTCATAATAAAATACTCAACTAATTAAACTCTAAATTTGCCAAGAAAAACTCTCCAATGGTAGAGTAAATTTCTCTATAAATTTCAAGAATTTCTTGTGAATATGCAACACACAGTATTCCCCAATTTGAATTTCTCATCTCCTTCTGTCACCAAACTTGATCATTTTCCTCTCTGTTTTAACCTCTCTGGATCCCATCATCTCCCAGTCATCTCTGATTCCTTTCTTGCTTTGGACAGTCTCTCCTTCACCAAGTTCTGCTGTCTTTCCATCTGTGCTGCTCCCATTCTCATTTGGATTTTGTTAAAACCTGTGCATTCAAGGGGGCAGGAGATGTTTTCTGGAAAAGACAGCTTTCCAGAGAAGACCATTAAAGCAGTTCTACTTTCTATCCCCCTTTAGATGACAGTGAGCTTTGTCATTCTGTAGTTTTACCCACATGGCTACTTTGAAACCTATATTAAAAGAAAAAAACCCAACTTTCAGAAATGGTTCAGTTTAGCGAGCCATCAGAAATTATACCCTGTCTTGAGTAAGGTTTCTCCTTGATTTTTGGCCCGTAGGAAACACATACACACACCAGTTTTGACCATTTGCAGGGGAAGGATGATCACCCAGTTCGGGGCCTTATCCCATTGGTACCCAGAGCCCCACGCTCAGGCAGACAGCAATCAGCACTTGTCTTCTGCCCCATCCTCCTCAGTCTCACAACTGAGCAAACTGACTGAATGACAGGCTGACATCAAACAAGCTCCTGCCACACAGTGACTGAGGAGCAGACATTGCCAAGCACACCACCTCTCACCCCTGGAGAGATGTGAGAGCCCTGTATTCCTGTCCCACTGAGTGGTCCTATTCTTCCAGATAAGGAGTGGCCACAGGAGCCCAGAGTTTCCTGTCCTGTGCTACATTTCTGTCTCCCCACCTCTAGCCTCTCATCACCCAAAGTCTTCCAGGACAAAGGAGGAAACGTGGGCTAGTTTCATCCAGAAAATGCCCCCTGATACAGTAAAAGGATGGGCTAGAACTAAATTCATATGATTCATCCCCAAAGAGCTTCTCTTCTGCACTGTATATCTCATCTTCCCACCAGCCATTCAGACTTGAAGCCTCAGTGTCATCATGGGTCTCCCTCTGCCCCTTCCAGGCACCAAGCTCTCACGTCTCCCCAACCTTGCAGAGTGCCTCTGCCTTCCTTTGATTCAACCCCAAAGCCCCATCCTATCTCAGGCCTCAGCTTCCTGCTCCTTTCACTTACTTGCCCTCATGGCACATCTTCTCAAAGCACATCATCATCTGTGCCTAGAATTGAGTTGAAATCTTCACTTTACCATGTCACTCTCTGATGAAGAATGTGCAGCACTTCCCAGCTGCTCATGGATCAGAGTCCACACTGTCAGCAAAGGATTAAAGATGCTCACTAGCCCTGCCCCTACCAGCTTAGCACTGTTCTACTTCTGGGTCCCTGTTCACCCACTTTCCTTGGCCTCTGGGGTCCATTCCACCATAATCAGCTACAAAATACTGCCAGTCTCCCAAGGCTCCATTCACACAAGGCCATTATGATGCCTGTGTTGCTGTTGTTTAGTTGCTAAGTCGTGTCTGACTCTTTGTGCCCCCACTGATTGTAGCTCGCGAGGCTCCTCTGTCCACGGGATTTCCCAGGCAAGAATACTGGAATGGGTTGCCATCCCCTCCTCCGGTGGATCTTCCCAACCCAAGGATTGAACCTGCATCTCCTGCACTGCAGGTGGATTTGTTACCACTGAGACACCAGGAAGCCCATTACGATGCCAGAAGCCAGCTCCTCTTCCTCTGTCTCCCTATGCGACTTGGAAGCTTCCTTAAAACCTTTAGCCCATTTTGCTCTAAGGGAGAGGCACTGTTATACACTTCTCATCATCCCATGACACTGCACATTCCTAGGTGACAAGGAGATTGCTTCATTCATTCAAGAAAATGAACTCGCATTTATTCAGAACCTACTGAACATCAGGTACCGACTTAGGTGCTGGGCTTATTGTGGGAAATAAAATACAAGATGTGGCAGTCAAGTTAAATACATGAATAACTAAAGGGCAGATTTCAAGAGGAGCTGGGATGGAAATGAACAGGA